ATCTGATAAGAAATACAAGCTAAATAGGAGCTAACAGGAATACATCTAACGTCAGGGCTCCCAAGACAAGATTACAATGACTTAGATAGAGTGGAGTCAGCTCAGTACAAAAAGCCGTGGTCTGAACGAGAAGTGAATGTCATGCAGTAGATACTCGAGAGGCAACTATTTAATACGAACACAGATCCAAGAACTGTTTAGAGGGCATAACAGGATAAAAAGATGGTAGCAAAGCTGGAAGACATTATAAAGTTAAGCAGCAGAAGTTGGTTCTTCAGCAAGGCGAGTAATTCTCTGGCCAGGAACAAATTAAAGCTGAAAAGCTAGTACAACCAGTTGCCAGATAGGTTCAGTGGAAAAGAATCTTTTAGCCACAGGTGTGGTGAGGTAAGGGCAGTCAAATAAGCAAAATTATTTATTTAGGTAATGTAAAAAGAAAATCAACAAGTCAAAGACAGTAGATGCATCTTACAGTATAACCAACGTAGTCTAGAGCAGAAGTTTTATTTTGATAAGTGCAGGAATTTGAAACCGACATCTTTTCCGCAGTTCACAAATTAAAACCAAAAGCAGCACATTATAGACAGAATCAGAGTGTTACAGTTTGTGGTACAATGCAGAAACATGCCCTCAGTATCTACAGAAATCCAAAAATTTGAAGCTAGATACAAGAGGAAAGCCACATACTTCTGTTTTCCAGATCTTTAACAGAGACCAAATAAAGGTTGTGTACTGTGGATTCTGGAGATCTGAATTGAAAACAAAGAGCCAGAGAAGGTCTAAACCAAGAAAATACAAAAGAACTACAGATGCTGGAAATGTAAAACAAATTGCTGGAGAAACTCAGCAGGTCTGGCAGCATCTGTGGAGAGAGAGAGAAAAACAAACTTAACAATGAGTCCATTCTGTTTCTTGCTGCATTAATGCTGTCAAATCTGCTAAGTTCCCCCAGCACTGTTTTTAACTTTATCAGAGCTCACAAGGTAAAGTCAGGAGATGGGGTTTGAAATTACAGACAGTGGCTGTTTGAACTATGTTGACTTGACGTTTGGGGTAAAATAGACGCTCTGTTAGAATTAGAGGAACTTAGAAGAGGAGAGGATTTGAGGTAGTGGGAAAAATAGACAACAGGTTCATGGCCTTCTGCTATCTGGATAGTGAGGAACTCCCGAGAAAGGGAAGTGTCCATGAGCCATATTGAATTTCTGCACCAATCCTGCAAGGTCCTCCTCATTAGCATCTGGAGACTGGCAAGAAGCTTGACACCATCTAAAGACAATGCAGCCCATGACCCCATATCCACAACCATCTATTCCCTCTACCACCAATGCAGAGTGGCACTAATGTGCACCATGTAGAGAATGCACTGCAAGGTGGCAGCTCAACATGACCCTAAAGGTCAATTAGAGATGGGCAATAAATGCTCACCCAGCCAGAGAAGACCACATCCCCCGAATGTTTAAAAAAGTTGATAGCCAAGTTGGAAAACATGTGCTCACAGTAATATCTTCCACCTAACTTTACACACTACTTATTCACCTCTCTAAATATAGCCTAATCCACAAAAACAGATCTGACAGAGTTGGTGCTCAATCTTCATTATTGTCTCCAAAGTTCATGAGGTCTCACTGCTTCCGGACAGAAAGACAAAATAAACTTCTTGTTGAATGATGATTCCTATGCCCCCTCAACTGAGAAATGACTAGGCTTTTATATTCAGCACTGTGAAATAGGCATTGAGGGAAGTTAGGGTACAACTATTTTGAGTGAGCGATATCAAAGCTGGCCAAGTCTTACCAGCATAACAAAGCTGGACAAATTCTGACGAACAAAGCTGTGATGGGCTATGTATTAGCTGCTGAGATAATCAAAACAAGAAATTAATATCCTTGTTCTCACTTGGCTAGCTCATTCAAAGCTTCAAAGAATTGGATTATTCTAGCAAGACAGTCAAAGCTCACTTCTGGTTTCTGCTTTCCTATATCCATTGAACAATGCTCAGCACAAACTTGACTAGATACTCTAAATTTCATCCAAACACTTTGAATTATTTTTAAGATTGTTACAAGGTAGACAAAGATGTTCTGAAAATTACACTACATACCTGCAACTCTTAAAATGAGGATGTTTAGAAAACCTTGTCTGTACTTACAGACATTGAGGTCATAACATGGAAACACACCATTCAGCTTAGTCAATCTGTGTCAACATGTACTTTGTAGATTGGTTTTTATATTTAAAAAAAGCAGCTTTACTGAACACACTTCACATCACTTAGAACAGACTGTATGTTCATAAATAGAAAAGTATTCCAAAACTGATTACATCTAGCTTATTCAAAATGACAAAAATACCTATGGAGCTCAACTTAAATATAAATTTATAAGATAAATCTAGGTATTTAATGAACAAAATAATACAAGTCATAAGTCCAAAAAAAAAATTATAAAACATCTAACAAGTATTTGGCTTGCGAGAAACAAAGCTATAAAGCTAACTTAAGCTTAACATTTCCACACTACAATAATTAAACAATGGTTTTACAGTTACAAAATCTGTATCATGTCATCTTAAATCCTTTTAAATAAAGGAATATTGCTGTTTAGTTATTTTAAAAGCACAATGAAACTTCCACTTCTTTCACAGGCAGTTAAGACATAATTTGTTATAAAAGAAAAATTGTGACCTTCAGATTTGTTTCTCCATCCAGACTGGCAGTAGTGACGTAACACGTCCCATCCTCTCGATCGGTTGACAGCAGCACTAAATCTGTGGGAAACGTTTGATCTTTTTCTATTCTGACAATGTCACCAACCTACAAGTAAAAATAAAAGGCCAAATTTTTCAAAGAAAACATAATTTAAAATGTCACTGCTTCATATCATTAATAATTGCAGTATTTTAGGATTTCACGGCAGTGGGCAATACTGTATTTGCTGCCCATCACTAGTTAACTGGAGGTAATGGTTGTGCTTCCTAGTGATTTTTAAAAATTTGCTCATGAGATTTAGGCATTATTGGCCAGGTAAGCAGCCTCCTTGAGATGTTACAGACCTGTTGTGGAGGGTGCTCCAGGATTTCTACACACCAGCGAAGGAATGACATTATCGTTCCAAGTCAGAATTGTTGGGGTGCTTGGAGACAACCTGTAGGTGGTGTTCCCATCTGCCTGCTGCCCTTGCCCTTTTAAGTGGTAGAGATTGGATGGTGTCTTGGTAAGTTAGGCAGACTAAAATGCATTAAATTGATGGCACACATTGTGCTGCCACTCTTGTCAGCAGTGCAAAGTGAATGCTGAAGGTGATGGATGGGGTGGCAATCAAATAAGTTGCTTTATCCAGAATGGTGTCAAACTTCAGCTGCTGTTGGCGCGTGCAAACATTCCATTTCATAATCATGTGGCCACTTGGTGATAAATGCTTCTTCAGCATCTTCACATTCACTCCCTGCACCAACACACAGCTGCAGGGATATGCATCATAAATGCTATATAATTTTATTTCCTGTATTTTTGATTGTGGACTAAAATGGAATAAGAGGTCTGTATCAAAACCAAGGACTGTGGATGGAACTTCAGCGCTTTTGAAAACAAATTGCTGAAGCTTATTGTACAGTATTTACACTGCTGCTTTGTTGATTCCTTGGGGAGCGGTGGCAGTTGGGTAGGGGAAGAAAAATATTTGGAGTTAGCAATGGAACCAGGGTGTGTTTTCAGCAAGAGATTTGGCCAGCAAATAGTTGTTGATTTGCTGATCCAGTTGTGACCAGTCGTGGATGCAAAGGTCATCAGCCTGGTGACACGGCGGCTCAGTGATTAGCACTGCTGCCTCACAGCGCTAGGGTCCTGGGTTCAATTCCACCCTTGGGTGACCGTTTGCATGGAGTTTGCACATTCTCCTTGTGCACGCGTGGGTTTCCTCCCACAGTCCAAAGATGTGCAGGCTAGGTGGATTGGCCATGCTAAATTTCCCATAGTGTTCAGGGAGGAGTAGATTAGGTGGGTTCTAGGGGGACGGGTCTGGGTGGCATGCTCTGAGGGTTGGTGTGGACTTGTTGGGCCAAAAGGGCCTGTTTCCACACTGTAGGGATTCTATGAACTCTTCAATTGATTCCTCGGCAGGTCAATAGCTTGTGGGTGTGAACAATTCATAAAGAAGCCTTTGGAGGGCTGCAAGGGTCGGTAGTGTGCCTCTCCCTCTCTTCAGCAAAAAAAAAAAACTTGAAGCAAGTCCATTATTTCCTCCCACTGTTGCTGTAAGCTGATGCCTTCAGCCAGTAAGTCAAACCTTGCAGTTAGTGACCTAACAGAGCGCAGTGTCCTAGGAAGATGTGAAAGAACCTGAAGAAAGAAGATTGTGGAACAAAATGTCTATACAAGCAAAACAAGAGTCTCAGGGAACCCCATGGGACTGGTGCTATCGTACTGCATTTCAGTTTTTTTTCCCCCCCACTCCATTCATAAAACTAATGTCTTCTTTGGTTTGTCCATGTTTGGTTGTAAAGGTTTGAGAAAGGGTCAGCGTTTAGACGAGTAGAGACATATGTTGATAGCTCATAGCTGCTTACTTGTGATTAGAATTCACTTATTTATAATAAATAGTAGTTCTTATTAAGTTTGGGAATCTAGTCGGTGTGTCTTCTGTTAACTTGATTCCAACAGACAGGTAAAGCAAGGGCTTGCATGTTTGCTTACATCCTTAACCTTTGTGACAAACCTGGGAGTCGAGAATGCTTGAGAATCAATGCATTTTCCTAAATATAACCTTCTATAAGATACACTGCAGTACCTTCCAAATCCATAACCTAAATCCGAGTGACAAAGAAATAGTGATCACCATTTTTCCAGGTATTAAAAATCTTGGAACTGCACCCATTAACATCATTGTTGATATATCTGTGACTGTAACATGTTACACCTTACTGAATTAGTGTACTGGAGTACTACCCTATTCCCAATGACATCAGAAAAGTTATGATTCTAAAAAGTACACAAATTCCCAATTTAATAGGTTTGCAGACTGAGGTTGACAGAAAGCACTGACCAGGTGTTTGTGTTAAACAAAAATTAATATTTATTATAAGTAAATAGACTCGAGCTACAGGTAAACAATATTTGAACCGTTGGGATTTAAAAACAAAAAAAAAAACTTTAAACCTCTTAACCTTCCCTTTTACACACATGGAGGAAGAAAGCGGGTGTGACAGACAGAAGGAAAACTGGAAAGGCAGATTAGTGGAGTCTTTTCATAGAATCTGCTAAATTGATTGTTGTGCTGATCAGAACACTGTTTCTCAGTCCTGCTTCTCCAGATGCTTTCACTGGTTTGCGAGAGACACAGGATGGCTGGTTAACACAAAGTTCTCTGACTTACTAATTAAAGTCACAGCCTACAGCAACTGAAAGAAGAATAAACTGGTTTGCTTCAGAGAACAGAATGAGTTCCTGAGGTGAAGGTTCAAAGGCTGGTCAAGATAGTGATCATAGTCCCTGGCTGTTCAGCTACCGAAGAACTAAGCAAATAATTGCTGGTAGACAGGAGGCCTTTGTCATCCATAACTGGTCACTAGTCCTCAGACCAATCAGTTATTTGTTTGCTGAAGCTCTATTTGCATACAACTCTTGGCTAAAGCTTGTCTGCAAATTACACTTCAACAATTGCTTGAACAAGCAACTGTGTTAAATGGTGCTCAACAATGAGCATTAGGCTATTTGCTTTTAAAAACTACAGTAATCCTTCATTTTTAAAAAACGCTCTTTTCCCATTAGAATTCACAATTATAAAAATATAGAAAATCATAAAAGACAGGGTCTTTAAGTGATTCAAGAAAATTCCTTTGTTAGGAGGCCAGACAAGTATTTCTTTAAATCACCACCAGCATGGTGCAATGGTTTTCTGGTGCCAGGGTGAAAGGACAGCACACAGAGCAGGCATAGAATATTTTTCCCCCAAGACGGCAGAGCCAGAAATTGTCATATACATGGTACTAAAGGAAAGTTGGGGGGACTGAAATCCAACGGAGAGTTTTCAGGACAGAGAGGAAGTAGAATCTTGAAGGTAGCAACATCTGGGTCACTCCCTTTGACATTCTCTAGTGACAGTAGAAATGGAGAGATGGGACAAATTTAAGTAACTTGAAGCACAATACAGGTTGAAGAGTTTGACATTCTTGGGGTATTGGTACTGCATCTACTCAGAACAGGCAGCTTGCACTTCAACAGGACTGGTCTAATCTCATGGAAAGGTTCATTACTGTGGTAGGGGAGGGTTTAAACCAAATTGAAGTAGAACAGACAAACCAGGGACATAAAGGAAAAGAAATGTTATAGAATACATGATAAGAAAAAGTGGTATCATATTAGGCAGTAGCATTTTAAGGAGAGCTGCAAGCAACGAACAAAAATAAAGAGAGGTTTAGAATGCATGTTAACATAATGAGTAGGTAATAAGGTTGGCAAGCCAGAAGCACAAATAGTTTGAGAACACGATATATACTATCGATAATGAAAACCCGAAACAAAGGGAGTAGGATGACAATTCGATTAGAAATGACACCAGAGTATTGGAACAAGACAGGATACTTTTGAGAGAACAAAGTCATAATCCACTTGGTTCAATCTAATGTAATGCAAGATAAAAGGATCACAGTATTGAGAGACTTCAAATGGAAAGAGAAAGAGAAAGAGAGGAATAGACCTGCAAGGCAAGTTCAGACATGTGCAAGAAAAACAGAGGTGATTTTGAGAGTTTTTAAATTCAAATATCACTTGGGATAATACCACAGTAAAGGGCAGCATAGGGTGGAATTCCTAAAATGTGTTTCAAAGAATCTCCTTGCCCAGTATGTGCTCAGTCTAACCAGGAAGGGCGCAATGCTAGATCCGACGCTGTAAAATAATGTGGGCCAGGTCTGCGAAATGTCTAGAGGAACACCTGGAACTGTGATCATTCCATCACAAGGTCTAGATTAGTAATGGAGAAGGAAAAGGAGCAACACAAAAATTACATATCTGAATTGGAAGATGGCTAACGTCAACAGGATAAGAGGGGACTTCACCAAGGTTATACGCAATCAAAATCATCAGGAAAAACATGGAAACAGAACAACTGGTGAACTTAAAATTAATCAAAAAAAATTATAGATCTCAATCTCAAATCTCAAGAGCCCTTTCTTTTAAAAGCAACAGAATAACACGGTGGCTTAGGGCAGCATGGTGGCTCAGTGATTAGCACTGCTGCCTCACAGTGCCAGGGACCCGGGTTCAATTCCAGCCTTGGGCAACTGTGTGTGTAGTTTGCGCATTCTCCACGTGTCTGCGTGGGTTTCCTCCGGGTGCTCTGGTTTCCTCCCACAATCCAAAGATGTGCAGGCTAGGTGGATTGGCCATGCTAAATTGTCCATAGTGCCCAGGGATGTTTAGGTTAGATATGGGGAAATCAGAGGTAGGGGAATGGGTCTGGGTGGGATGCTCTTCGAAGGGGGCAGTGTGGACTTGTTGGGCCAAATGGCCTGTTTTCACACTGTAGGGATTCTATCATTATTTTTGCCCTTGTTGAAATATGCCTAATCTGAGACATCACTTTTAAACTTAAAGCAACAACACATTAGCAAAGCATGAATGTCTGATCCACAATTTAAATTGGCACAGGGTTACAGGCCTAAGATAGCAAGTGTTTTTATTTTACAAATAATTTCTTCACAAAAAGCCGTCACCCTCAACACACCTTCTGCGGTCTGGGAAGGTTACAGCTAAACTGTTGCATATTCGTCTTTATGTGTCACTGTGTCCTGAATAAATTCGCTTTCAGAAACACA